GTGTGTCTCCTTTTTTGGTATTTTCACGCAAATTCTTCTGCTAGTTGGGGTTTAGTCCACTTTTGTATCCTTCCCTTCAAGGCTCAGGGGTCCAAGATTATCTTCTGTGTCTGTGTTAATTGGTTTCCCTTTTCTTTGTTGAAGAGCGTCTGTGCAGTCCTCTGCCTAGTCCGCCATCTTGCTGGAACTCTCTCTCTCATGTTTCTTCATGATTAGACACAGGCTATACATATCTAGCAGGAATATTACAGAAATGAAGTTGTGGTCTTTGTGACTCATATTAAGAGGCTCATAGTGTTGACATATCTACTGGTAATGTTAATTTTGATCACCTGCTCAGTTGTCTGGGAGCTCTGGTGGCATAGTGCCTAAGGCATTTGACTGGTAACCAGAAGTCTGGAGGTTCAAACCCACCAGCCATTACTCGGAAGGAGGATTGGGCAATCTACTTCCGTAGAGATACCACCTCAGAAACCCAAAGAGGAGTCACTGAGTTAAATCAACTCGATGGCAGTGAGTTCTGGGTTTCTTTGGTGCTCAGTTGTCTGCTCAGTTTCTCTGTAAATACACTATTTTTCTTTTTCCTAATTTGTAAATATTTTGTATTTCATTAACCTGCTTATTATCAAACTAACATTGACCAACCTCATTATCTATTGAAGAATCTTGCTTGAATCTTCAGTGAGTAGTGATAGTTTCCAAATGGTGATTTTCTATTTCCCTCATTACTTTTTCAGTAGATGGCATTCTAATATAAGAAATAGCATTTTTCACCCCAAACCAAAACCAAACCAAACTCACTGCCTTGAGTTGGATCCAACTCATATCGACCCCTGCTTGGGTTTCCGAGGCAGTATCACTACGGAACTAGATTGCCCACCCTTCCTTCCGAGGAGTCGCTGCTGTGTTTGAACCACCAGCCTTCTAGTTAGCAGTCACATGCCTTAGTCACTATGCCTTCATTATTCATTTATTTATATCAGTATGGACTGCTACTGAGTTCCTAGTTTATTTAATGAGTTGTAATCTTTGTCATTTATATTGATAACTTAAATTGTGCCTCCTAATGGCTAATGTTTATAAATGGAAATTTGAAGCCAGTCCTTTTTCCTCTTGTAATAACCTGTTTTCTTCTACCTGTATGCTTATTAGATGCTCTTTCAAGCTGACCCTCTGTCCTTCTGTCATATTTCCATCATTCTTTTAACATTTTCATATTTTTTGGCTTAAAATGTTGTTGGCTCATCTTGTATGTTGCCTGCCTCAACCCTGGAATCATTTATTTTTTAGGAGCTTGACTCCTTTTAGTAGAAAATGACATTTGTAAATCTAGATGTGGGTACTTGGTATGCTCCTTGGTACTGGTTATCATTGTTTTTTGATTGTCCCAGTGCACAGAGCTAGGAAATAGATACACATATATAGATATATATGTGTACCATACATACAAAACCAAAAGAAAACCAAACCCACTGCCATCTAGTTGATTCTGACTCATTGGGTTTCTGAGGTGGTAAATGTTTACAGAAGTAGATTGCCTCATCTTCCTTCCATGGAGCAGCTAGTGAGTTTGAACTGCCAACTTTCTGTTTGAACAGTCAAATGCCTTAGATACATACAAACACCTCTATATCTAGCTTTATATCTATATACCACAAGATCACATGGCTACCTCCCATTCCAATCTCACAGTTTAGACTTCCTCTTTCCCATTTTCATAAAGCCCTTCTCCAGTAATGAAAAATCTGGCTCTCATCTTAGGATATTGACTTACTTGCTTAGTTCCTTCTCTGAATCTACCAGCTAGCTGCCTCCAAGACTCAATGCTATGGGAAAATTTTCAAGGAGGGACTGTTGTTATCTTTGAGTTGATTTCTGCCTCATGGCCATCCCTTGTGTGCTGAACAGAACTGCTCTGTAGGGTTTCAAAGGTTTGTGACCTTTTAGAAGCAGAGCACCAGAAACTAGACCTCTACTTATTCTAGTAGAATTGCATCAGAAGTGGATTTTTTTCTTTTTTTGAGATATAATTCTCATACTAATACATTCACCTATTTAAAGTATACCATACAGTGATTTTCAGTATATTCATAATGTTGTGCAACTATCACTACTATTACTTTTAGAACATTTTCATCATCTTCAAATGAAACTCCAAATGCTTCAACAGTTTTCTTGTTTCCCTCCAAGCAGTCTTATACAACCATTAATCTACTTTCTATCTCTGTAGATTTGCCTGTTTGGACAGAGAAATTACATTCTATGATCACTGAGATTTATTCCAAAAAAAAAGAAAATGTTAGGTGACTTCTTCACTTACATGTTTGGCATCTAGCTAGGTGCCAGTTGGGATCTGGCCTAGCATCTCTTTTCCTTCACATAGCCTTTCATGTGTTAACTGAGGGTCTTTACTGCATTGCAGTCTTGGAGTAGCCATTCTTCTTACATGATTGCTGACTTTACCCCGGAAGGAGATTCCAAGGTATAAACTGCAGCTCTTCTTAGGATTTAGTGTTTGAAGTCCCAGAATGTAATTTCTGCTGCATTCTATTGATAAAGCAAGTCACTAAGAGTCAATGAGAAAGAAGTTTGAATTTACCTCTTGATGAATAACATTTGTGCACAGAAAGATACAGAGTCAATGGCAGCTATCTTTAGAGACTATCTACCACCCTAAGGTTGAGAATCCCTGATGTAATTGGCATACTGCTAAATTGGAACAGTTGTACTATTTTAGAACTTTAAGGAGAAAGTATAAGATAGAACATAGATTTTATTATTAGCTTATTAGCCATTTATTATCATACCCTGCAGTTTGATTCGCCCAGTGGGTTATTTCATCTTTCTATGAACAATAGAAAACTTGCTTTAAAAAAATATATTTTTAAATTATTTTTAAATGTTATGCTCTATAGAGATATTTATTCTGTAGCTAAGTCTGGAAAAATGTTACACTTTTTTTCTTAGTTTTCATTTCTTAATACTGAAAAGCAAAAGGGGTAATAAAGTATATTGTCAGGTCAAATTTTATTTAAAATATTTACATTGAAATTAGCTAGTTAACATAAAGCTCAATATTAAATTAATAGCCATTTTCCTATGAAAATATCTTTATGCAGGTAACTCAAGAGTAAAAAGATCTACAGTGATAAGAGAGGAAAAAATACATCACAAGTTAGGTAAGATTATTTTCTCTTTTTAATATTCTATTGCGAATTCTATTACTAAACCTTGGTTTCTAAAATGGGAGAAATATTTTGATTAATTGGCAAATAACTTAAAATTGTGTATTGTTTCTATGAATTCCATAGGAAATCATCATAGCCATTGATTTTGCTCTATTGTCTATCTATAAATCCTGCAACCCTCCCACTCTTTGATCCATATTCAGGAGCATGATCCTATCTAGGTTAAATAGATAGATGCAAAAAAGACAAGGAGGCCACATGTTCTGACCTCCTCTCATCCCACAAGAGGAATACAGAATCACCATCAATAGCCCAAGGCCTATTCCTGCCAGGCCAGACATGCTGCCTCCCTCCAGCCCTTTCTCCAACTGTTCCTCCCAAAGCACCCACCACCTCTTTCCCGGGTTTGATAATTCGCTGAAGTGGCCACACAGAACTCACAGATTATGGGGTTTATTAGGGAAGCACCAGGCTACAATTCAAGTTCAGGAAAAATGCTCACTCTCTCTCCCAGCCCACTGTCTTTCAGCCAATTCTCTCTCAGTCTCTCCCCAAGCAGTGCGCGTCTCTCAGTGTCTTACTCAGCAATGCATGTCTCTTGCATCTCTTTCTCAGCAGCACGTGTCTCTCAGGAGAGCCTGTCTTTTTCAGCAACACTTCTTCCTCAACCAGCAGTCAGAGAGACTTCTGCCTCTAGGAGGCCACCTTTTGAGTCTGGCAGAGTGGCCAAACTAGCCAATCATAGCATCAGAACTCTAAGCACCTGAGAGAGAGTGGTAACCTCCCAGAACATTGTTTTGTGCCTCTCCTAACAGAAATACTCCAGGTGGACAATGTTAGCAATCAGGAGCTCCTCAGTTGCTCATAGCAAATCCCACCTCAGAGTTACCAAGACTTATGGGTAGAAAAGCCACACTAAGTAATTTACTACACTGCAGTAGGGTAGAGAATTTTATCAAAGGAAATAAATATAACTGCTAGAGAGATGACATTCCTAACAGCTTCTCTTCTAAACTTATATCCAATTTTTATTTCTAAACAAAGCATTAGCTAGGAAAGACAATTAAATATAGTTAAGGAACCACTGTAGAAACTCATGAAGATTAGAACTCCATGGTTCCCAGACAGTTATTTACTCATCAAGACTGTGAAAACTCCTACCTGCATCAGGAATTGGAATTACCTTCTATGTTCCGCCCTACACTTGTAGTTGTTGTTGTTGTTGTTGTTGTTGTGTGCCGTCGAGTCAGCCCTGACTCATAGCGACCCCTCCTTGGGTTTC